CCTCATTAAAACCTAATTGGAACTGAATGAATCAAAAATATCAAGCAAGACTCAAGAGGAATTTAAATTCAGCAAGTAATAACCTTAACAAACATAAACTCAAACACTTGACGTGCACAAATTTAATGAAAAATATAAACCAAAGCAATATGATCCTTAACAAGATAAATGACATCAAATTAATTCAGTCAATCTAACTGAAATCAATGAATTAAATTCAAAATCATAATAAAAACTAGAATCAAATTTGAGCTACACAAAATCGAAATCAAAAGAATCTGAAACTCAAGTGGAACTTCAACATCTTAAAGAGTCATTGAAGATTTAGCATCTCATCTCACTCTCCTTAGCCACATATTGAAGGAGACGTCTGGAAGAAGCTGCCATGGATGAACCCTCGCTGAAGTCTGTATGACTAGATGAATCTGTACCAAGTTGAATGGGTGACAGAACTCTGTGATCAGTGTGCGACTGACTGAAATTGAGAGCGAAACTATGATGGTGTGTGATGAATCTTTGTGAACATGTGTGTGTGGTGGCGAGAATGAATGGTCGACCTCATGAAGTTGATTGCGTATGGTGGTTCAAAACCAGAGCTCCTCGGCGTTCGCGTTCTGTTCCCTTTTTCCTTTCCTTTTGTTCTCCATTCCCTCCCTTTGAAAAGTCAAAAAGCTAATTTAAAATAAAAAATGAGCAAGTTGACAAATTGACCCACTAATTTCTTAAAAACACAAAATAACTAAAGCTAAATTAACCTAATGCAATTGAACCCAAAAAAATTCTAAAAATGAGAATAAAAATTGCCTAAATAATAAAATGTGTCAAGGAATTGAAATTTCAAATTAAAAACAATTAATTTCAATAAAATGTGTAAAAATTACCAAAATACCCCTAATGCTAAAGCTCAATGTAAATGAGCCAATGATCAAATCCAATACTAAAATCATACATATAAGGGTCTAAATCAATAAAATGTGATCACAAATATAAAAAAAAAAAGTTTGTAAAATATGTGATTTATCATAGATTCCTCTAGGTTTGAAGAATTCCAACAATGTTGACCTAGTGTGCAAATTACAAAAATCACTATATAAGCTCAACCAATCCTCGAGAGCATGGTTTGAAAGGTTTACTAAGGGAATCAAACAGCTTGGGTTCGCACAAGGGTAGACGGATCACACCCTTTTCATCAAAGCATCAGGTGGGAAGATTGGTTTAGGATCATGGGATCCTTTTTCTATCAAATATAGAAAGGGCTATTTCACAAAATGTATTTCTAAGTAATTGCTTCATAGATCCTGTATGTATTTGTATGAAGAAGAAATCATGTACCTTTTTAAATTTTCAAGCATTAAATTGACTCTCAAATTATTCTAATACATGTGTAAAGTATATTAATTTAACATATATATGTAGCTAAATGAAAATAAATTAACCTTCATATATATATACATACATACATATATATATATATATATATATATGTTTTGTTCTTTTTTAAAAAAAAATTGAGTATGTTTTTTCCCATTTAAAAACTTATACTTTTTTTTTATTAATATACATGCTCATCTATCATCAATATTTTATTATCCATCTTAGTAGATTTTAATAGGGTTACATCATCCTCTTTAAATAATGAGTACCAAATCAATAATTAAGGCAAGTTTGAGGACAAAATTGAAAAAAATTAAACCTAATGAATTAAATTAATAAATATTAAACTTGAAGGATTAAATTAATAAATAATGCAAACTTAAACGACTAAAAATTTTATTATTCCTATCTAGTATCTAATAGTATTTAATAGACTTATTGAAGCAAGAAGAACTAGTATTTTCCAATCTGGAAAATAAAAAATGGTAGAAATTTCCAGGAAACTGAGGAGGGATCTGGCAAAGACTCTTAGATGATAGAAGGAATGATAAAAAAAGGGGGGGTACCATGAAGGTTCTAGGTGTTTACTTTCGGCAATATTAAACATAATTTTTTTCATAATTATTAAACATATTTCTATTCATAATTTTTTTCATAATTATTAAACATATTTCTATGGAGGATTTGATAATTGTAGTCACGTACATCTAATTCTTATCAGTTAATCATGCTTTAAATGGACGGTGACTCGTGGGCTAGCTAGCTAGCTTTTGTTGAGTATGCCTCAAATATTATTGTTTGGTGTTGCCACACATGCTTGTAATTTGCGAGAATTTGATATGACATAAAAGTTTGAACATTAATATGACTCATGTTTATCGGAGTTATATCTAATAGCAATGAATTACTTAAAAAAAGAAAAACCATTTTCTTTAATGACCACCAAACTTTCAAACTCAAGTAATAGATTGGCTGGCTCGTTTAGCATAGTAATGTATCGCCAAGATATTTTCTGAATTTATGCGCGTATGTGTAATGTGTTGATGGGCGCATGTGGATCATGCCGAGTTCTTGCGTTGCCGGAATCGATGGGTTTTTGAAGCTTCCTTGCGCATGGAGCGAGATTGAGGCATCTTATTAAAGATACATGCTTTTACGGGTCACCGTGTACCACTGGCCTATTTTTAAGTACTTTTTCCCTCCCAATTTATAAGATATATATTTTTGTGAAAATTAAATGTTTAAAAATATAAAACACATTGTAAAATTTATAATTTATTAATAATATTTTTTTAATATTACATTTTTCATATATTCTATCTCTTTAACATTCTATTATAAAATGAGTATCAAATGAATGATATTTTTAAAAATTTATATTTTTGTTTTGGTGGAAAAAGAAGGTTTTAGAACTTGTTTAATAAACTTTATTGATATGTATGATTTTACTTAAAAATGTTGTATAAATTGGGACAGGGATAGTAATTTTCAATATGTTGGCTGAAATCAAGAAAAAATTTAAAACTTATTAACTTTATTAAAATTTTTTATAAATTTATAAGTTTACTCAAATTAAATATATGTGTGTATATATATATATTTATATATACATTAATAATATACTTTTTTTACCAACATTTAATGAAAGATGAAAAAAATATATGATAAAAAATAATAACCTAACTTATAAATAAAACAAAAAAATTATTCTTTCCTTTTTATAGAATAAGAGAGAATGGACTCTATGGTGTACTCGTCAATGGCTGCATGTTCTTGCAATTATATAGATTTTTCGTCAGCTTCATTTTCCATTTAAATTGCTTTGAAGCTTCCATGAATTTGACGTTTCAGCTCTGTTTACTGAATCTCGTTTTCAAGCTTTAAAAAAAAAAAAATTGTTCTGTTGGTAGCAAAAGAGGATAAAAAGCCCAAAAAGCAACAAATTAAAGCAAGCTTCAATATTTTATTGTGATATGTAAGTACATAGGAATTGAATTAAACAAATAGCAAGAAAAGGACCGGCAAGGGTTAACGAAGGCGGTACGCACGGAGAGCTTCATTAGCCATTTATATAGCCAGAAGGTCCTGACCCCTGGATAATGAGATGGGACACATATGGTCTCAAAATTTTAATGTTTTAAATTATGTTCAATATTGCTGGTCCAGATCAATATATTCATTAAAAAATTTATAATTTATAATTTTATATAAAAAATTAATTTAATAAATATAAAATAAATATTTTAAATCTGGATTGTCTAAGATAAAATCTTAACGGTCTAGATCTCAACATTCTAATAACCACTATGATACTCATTAATGTAATGAATACCAAAACTAGTATAGTTCCTTATTTAGTACCCACTAATGAAAACTTTGGCCAAATTAACCATGGTCAGGTTTTTGGTTGCTTTTAGTTTTATTTATAGGAAAATTGTTTGTGTAGTTTGTTTTTCAATTTGTAATTAGGTTTATTGAAGCTTTGATCATATGATACTTTTAATATAATATAATATCTTAAGATGCACGGATACAATACTTCTATTTTTTAAAAAAAATTAGGATACAATTGATGCATGTATATTATAAATTTATGAAGAATTTATAAAACACACACACACACTATATATATATATATATATGGATCTAACTATTTTGTTTCATAAATATTAGTTTTTTTCCCATATTACGGAATATTTTGAAATAAAATAAAATTAGAAAATATACAAACTAATTTACAACATAAAATAAAGACACGTAAAAGTAAATAATAAAATATATTTTCAAATAAGTGAAATATTTATCTTTGAAAGCATAAGAAACTTATATTCTGAGGAATTTTAATCTTTGATTTTAAAAGAAAATAATAAAATGATGGAAATAAAAATATTAATATGATAATCCTAACCGAATTTAATTTCTTAAAAAATGTCTTGAAATATCACTAGCAATCTAAAAATACTATATATGCATTGAAAATTAAAAATATTTTTTAATTTAAAAATATTTCAATACAGTACTGATTCATATCGAAAACTATCAGCCTATTTTAGCATCAGATATAATACCAACAATTTAAAGTATATATCAGTGCTTCATGTATCAATATATTCAATTTAATTTTAACTTCAAAGTGGTAGAAAGTTTCAAGCTTTAAACAAGTGTAACTCATCGTCCACTCTAATTATAATAGTATTATAGAACTGACGGATAAACGGTTTCCATGGATAGAAAACACGTTATGCTTAATTAAAATAATATTTATTGTATTATATATCTTTCAATGTTATGTCAGTGAGATTTATTTTAAAATTAGAAGTTTAGATAAGTAGAGTGATAATTATAATAAGAAGGCATCATAATAGACTCGATCTTGAGTGCTTGATTGGATTCTTAGTTTTAAAATTATAATAATTATTAAAAATAAATCACACAAAAGTTGAATTGTTAAATCTCAAGTTATCAACTTTATGTTATCAAATATGTAATTTGGATTCTTCAAATCTCTCTATAAGAAGCAGAGAAAGCACTAAAAGTAGCTTAAGCACTAAGTAGCACAAAAAAGCCAACATGAAATCTACAGTACACATAAATTAGCAAGGAAAGAACGCATTGGTCATTATCATCTAAGTCACAAAAATTTGTTCCATGAACTTGACAAACTCAGAGCGATCAATGAGTCCATCTCCATTCAGATCAAAAACACTAATCATTCTGCTACACTCTTCAATCTCTCTCTCCAAGCCCAGACACTTCAACACTCTCTGCAACTCTCTGGCCTCCATGAAGCTATCTCCATTTTCATCGAACACCTCGAAGACATCCTTAAGCTCCTCGAGACTTGGTTCTTTCTCGAACAATGCTTCAACCTCTTCTTCCCCAATCGCCTCCTCTATCCCTTCATCCCCTTCTGATTCTGCACCGCTCATCAGTCCCAATCTCTCCATCACCATCACCACTTCCTCTCTGCTCAATCTCACCTTGTAATCTGGACTCTTCACAGTTCTTCTAGAAGATGACCATGATGATGATGTCCATGAGTTACAGAGAGATTGAAAGTGGTAAAAGAGAAAAGAGAAGAGTCCACGAGAGACAAAGAGTTTAGCGAGGTTTATGTCTCTGAGAATTTTCTCCATTCTTCTGATGAGGCTCACTGTGTGATTGATGGAGAAATTCTGAATTTATTTATGGACACATGTATGCGTTTCGGCGTCCTGTTTAAGCGTCAACGACTTAATGGAAGGGGGAAAGGGGCATTGCATATTGATTTCCGAGAAAGACAGTGAAGAATATATAAGTAATGATCTGTTTGAGATATGTGTGTGTGGGTGTGTGTATATAATTCAAGCATGGGAATTTCTGTGAAATTTCTTGTTAGACTTAATAGAGACCAATTGTGAATAGGAGATTTGTTACAAGTTAAACATGCCACGGGGCTTTTTATAATTTGTCAACAAATCATTTATTGGTTTTGGCGGGAAAAAAACAATCAGTTAATGGGGGACCACACCTTCTTGGGTAATTTGATCGCAAGTTTTGTTGCTTTTTTATGTATAAAAGTGAGATGCGTAAATACTCTTTCGGCCAAAATTCCACTTCTTTTACTTTTAATTTAGGGAATATATATTCACGCGCAAGGAAAAAACTTGATAGAAGATTCACACGTAACAACAACCCTTATGGCAATTCCTTATCCAAGGTGAAAGCATCTGATGCTAGTGTGACAAATGTGTGTCTGTGAAGAGAAAAGAAGAAAGGAAAAAATAGTGAAAAGGACTTAAGTAGAAGCAAAATTGATCATAGGGACCAAATGTACTTGAAGGACAAAGTCTAATATTTTATTTATTAAATATTTGAGCAAATGACCAAAATGCCTCGCTGCGTTAAGTAATTTTTTAAAAAGGCACAAAATCTAATTGCCGGAGCTTCAGTAGGTGAAGGGTCATAAGAAAGTATCACCAATAAAAAAAAACAATCAAGACCCTTGATTCCATGTAGTCATCAAAGATTTCACGTAAATTCAACAACCAGAGGGTGCAAGGATGCAAGATATTTGGCCTCGATGCAAGGGTTTTGGCTTAAATGCAAGATTTTTGGCTTGAGATACAAGGGCTTTGACATGAGTGCAAGGCTTTTGGCTTAAGTGTAAGATTTCTGGCTTAAGGTGTGAGGGGTTTGGTTTGGGTGCAAGACTTTTCACTTAAGGTGCAAGGATTTTAGTTTGAAGTGCAAGGGTCATGGCTTGGGTGCAAGGTTTTTGGTCCAAGTTGAAAGGCTTTTGGCCTAAGTTGAAAGGCTTTTGGCTTAGGGTGCATGTGTTCTTGCTTAAGGTGCAAGGCTTTTGGCTTAGACAATTACATGTAATATCTTGTGAATTATATATAAATCAAATACATAAAGAGAACCCACTATCAATGACCCTATCATTACATGAAAATGGAAACTAATTACATGTAAATCAATATGGGAAAAAATTCGCAAGCATGCTTGAGGTCTAATTTACATGTAATCTTTAATGGATTATGTAACACTTGCCTCGAGTGTTATCCAAAAATCACACAATTCAAATAAACTAAGTGTGGTTAAGGAGTTAATCCTAAAACCAATTTAGAAAACAAACTATTTAAATCACTAAGCAGATACACAATTGCAAAGTAAACATTTAAAACCTTTTTTTAAAATAAAAAATTTTTATAGGTTTTACCTATAGCATGGAAGCAAGCTAGGCGAAAGTGAGGTAAAAAGATGCTATCATGACAGCATTAAATTGCTATCATGACAGCCCTCACAAGCCAACTTTTGGGAGACGCTGTTTGTAATGTCCTCCTTGACATTATCAAAATTCACCACACAATCACAACATCCAATCATAATTAGGAGCAAGGATTTGCTCCTAATCTCACATTATACATATAAGGGTTAAAACTAATAATCCTTTAAAAATAATTGAGGAATATTTGGGATCCCATAAAAACCCTTTAAATTAATAGTTTAAGCTCAAATTTAATGATTTATATAGGCATTAGAAGCATGGAAAAGTTTTGGGAAGCAAACCACTTCAAAACAGGGCCAAAAATGTCATTTTTGAGTGTTTTGGTCCGTGCACCGTGGCATGTGGCACAGAAAGACATGTTTCCTCGCTGTACCGTGTGCCACGACTCATGCAAAATGCGCCGCGGCGCACCTGTCCATGACAGCAATGCTGTTATGACACTTTTCTGGACGAACTTCGAACGCGTGCCATTTTCACATACAATGTCCGATTGGAGTGATTCAAGCGCCCACGCGAAGCTTATTTGTAACATCCTAAAAAAAATTTTAAAACTCAAATTTATTTTAAAAATAAAATAAAATATCTATAATTAAATTAAAATTTAGAATAATTTAATAGAGGCTCAGAGTTTGAATTTTACTAAGCAAAAGTTTAGTTTTATTTGATTTTTAACTATGGAAAAAATTACCAAAGTTGACCCGGGCTTTTGTGCAATAATAAAAAAATGTTGGGCCCTTTCTTGTAATTTTCCCTAAACTTTTTGACCAGCAATTTAAAGGCCAAAACTGATGCAGAAACGCAGAAACTAAATTGGAAAGGAAAGGAAAGGAAACGTACGAGAGGGAGAGAGGAAGAAGAGAAGAGAAAGGGAGGGAGTTAGGCTTGGATCTAGGAGTCTTTGTGACCGTTGCGAGCTCGGCTACACGATAGGTAAACTCCCTACTTCAATCTTCTTCTCTTTCTCTTGATTTTCTTCAATTTTTGGAAGAGAAAATTTTTGGATTTTGATCCCAAAGCTTTATTCTTGTAAGCTTTTGTTTCTTTGGATCCTAGGGAGTATGTTTTGAGTTTCTATATAGTGATCTAATGTTTTGAGTGGATAATTGGATGAAAAGAGGTGTTTTGGGCACAAAATAAACCTTGAGAAATTAGGTTTTTGCTCTTCAATGGTTTAAGCTTATTGATTTAGTCATAATTTTCTATTTGAGCCCAATAAGATTTAAATTAAGGTTTGGTTTTCATTATAAGGGCTAATGGTGAAAGTTGGTGACACTAAGTGAAAGTTTTTAATTGATAAGAAATTATATAAAATTGAAAATTAGCCTAATGATGGCTAATAAATGGTTTTGGTGGTTAAGTGATACTATGTGAATGTTTGGTTTAATACATGGACCATTAGGGTGGATTATGACTCATTGACCCAAGTTGTGTGGTATGAGTTATAGTCTTCATTAATGCTATTTGTCATGATAAGTGATGTGGATCACTTATATGTTGTAGAAAATTGTTGGTGGAACTTATTGAAAAGTAAGGAACAAGCCGAGCCCTATTTTGTACAAGGGGAACCCTTTTGGTACCAAAGGGTTGAGGTAACAGGGAAATTTATATTTTTTATTACTTTGTTTTAGCTATTTTTGAATAAATATTACTAGTTATCATGCATTACATGTTTTAAAAGATTAAATGTGCTTTATAAGGGGTTATGGGGTACTACTTTGATTATAGTGCAAATATGTTTTCTAATTGTTTAATAACTATGTTTTTATGGAAATGAGATTTATAAATATTATACTACTTTAGAGTGTTGAATGGTCAATACTCAGGAAAGGTAGACAAGAGTAAAAGGCATGATCTCGGTGGGAGTTCACCAATGAGAAGGTGTGGATTTTTAATATTCTATGGCATACTGTCAGTACTCAGTGTTGTCTTACGTATTGTGGGCTCAGTGCACTAAAGTGGTTAGTGTATTGAGTGTTCGACACCTCTCAGTGGGGGAGGGAATCCGACATATGAAGTGTGAGGTTGAGTGCCTAGGCCAAGGTAGCCCTCACATGGAGAGTAAGTCGGGCTGGCTCTGGGAGGAAGTTAGCTTTGACTGCTCAGGATTCACGTCGAAGGGGCATAGGCGGTTCGGTGGATTAGATCATGCCTTAGATTATGTTTTGTGCCTGTGGAGGTACAAGTAGGTATAAGATTTACCTGCGAGTTAAAGAGTGCCAGGGGGCATTCTGTTGGTCATGAAAGGCCATACCGGCCTAGGTCATGCATTCATGCATTTTAAATGGCTAAATTATATATCATGTTGAATTTATTATTCGTTTATTTGATTATGGCTTACTTTGTAATAATCAATATAAATTTCGCTGTTACTGAGACTGTGGTTGTCTCACCCCTTTCTTTTCAATATTTTAGGTCCAGGTGAAGGATCCAGTGGTGGACGGGGAAAGGAGTAAAGCTAGGGGTTTGCTTGTGATTTGTAAAGAACTGCAACCCCTTTCTTTTGAGCAAATATATTGTAATGTATTTAAGATTAGAGTGCCAGTAGGATATGATTATGTGTGAATATGTGTGGATTGTGTGCTTGTGTATAAATTTTTGTCTGTTTGCAGACTTGTGGCTAGGAAACTTGGTTATGATGTGTGGTTTTGATGGATTTACTTAGTAGACCAAGTTTCTATTACAAGCAGATCTTTATTTTGATATATATGTGATTTTATAAGCAAATGCAAAGTGGTTACATTGCAAATGGTGTGCTATGGGCAAACATACACCTTGGATAGAGAGAGTGGGTGCGTGGGCCCCACAAGGAGCTCTGAGCCAAGTGAAAATGTTTAGCATATGTATTTATATAAATACATGGTATTTAGATTGATTTGTGACCACTCTTGTATGATTTGTGCATTTTAGGGGTTTAGGGTCCATTTTAGGAAATGGCACCCGGGTGGTCAAATTTTGATGTATAGGGGTTTTCCATCATTTGAATGTTCTTTCAGGTGTTTTTAGTCTTATTTAACGTGTCCAAAGTGTTCCCACAGGTTTGTGATCATTAGGATGAGATTTGGACAATTTTGAAAATGGTTTTTACCAAAAAGCTGCACTTTTGCATCCGAGTGTCCAAATCATAATCCAACCGTTGGATTTTTCTAAAATTTAGGTCACAAGTAAAACCTTTTATAAGCTTCGTGTGGGCTTTGGAATCACATCGATCTGATATCGGACGGAGAAACGACGCACTCCGAAATTTGGTCTGGAGGTGCTGTCATGACAGCATTAAATTGCTGTCATGACAGCTACAGTAATTATATTGTAACCTGCAAAAAATTTAATCCGTCCGTTGGATCTTTTCAAAATTTGGTATGCTAA